CACAGCAACCTCAAACTCTTGGGCTTAAGCTATTCTCTTGCCTCAGCCTCCCAAGTAGCTGGGACTACAGGCACCTGCCACAATGCCCAGCTATTTTTTTGTTGTTGTAGTTATAGTTGTAGTTGTTGTTTGGCAGGCCCAGGCCAGGTTCGAACCCACCAGCCCTAGTGCATGCGGCTGGTACCCTAGCCACTGAGCTACAGGCACCGAGCCAAGATATAATGTTTTTAATGTCAGGCTTTATGTCTGAATGAGGTTATTGCCATTATTCACCATAATTATTTTCTAGAAAATTGATGCAACACTGAATTAGTGAGTAGTAAACTGTTACTCCCAGAGGAAATACAGGGTTCATTTAGATCCTATGAGCCTCTGGCCACATTTCTGTCAACTGAAGTGCCACATCGTGTGATAGGTTTGCCAAGTTCCTTGTGTAACAAGCCAGTTCCATGAGCTTTGAAATCCTGTTCTTCCACACAAAGCTTCGCTTGTACAACACTGGCAGATGTTCTTAAAAGTCCTTCCAGCTCCTGATCTACAGCAACTCCACGTCTGTCGTCCGACACTGTCTCCTGAGACATCCCAGCTAACCAGCACTGGTGAGAGAGGCCTAACAGATCCTGACAGTAATTCCCAACCTTTTTGGTACCAGGGACATGCTTCATAGAAGACACTTTGTCCAAGGACCAGCCCGAGGTGGATGGTTTAGTTCTAAGTCTGCAAGCGACTGATTTACTATGGTCTCTGTTCAATCCAACCTCTGTGCTAATGACAACCTGTATGTGCAGCAGCTCCCAGCAGCAGCATCACCGCCTCAGCCCACCTCAGGCCAAGGGCCTGAGATTCCCCTGAGGAGCACAACCTAGATCCTCGTGTGTGCTTTACAGAAGGATGTCACTCCTGCGGGAATCCGAAACTGCAGCTGACCGGAGGGGAGCTGGAGCTCAGGTGGTCATGCGAGTGATAAAGAGTGACTGTGAATACCCATGAAGCTTCACCACCTTGCCCACCATTCACCTCCTGCCGTGTGGCCAGGCCACAGACCGCTATGCAGCCCCTGAGCTAGGGACTGCAGCTCTATCATGGGACTGTAAATTTCTTCAGCTTTTGGCCTTACAGTGCTACCTACTATGGTTTTGTTTGTTTGTTTGTTTGTTTGTTTTAAGTCTCATTTTGTCACCCTCGGTAGAGTGCGGTGGCATCACAGCTCACAGCAACCTCTAGCTCTTAGGCCTAGGCGATTCTCTTGCCTCAGCCTCCCGAGTAGCTGGGACTACAGGTGCCTGCCACAATGCCCAGCTGGATTTTTATTGCAGTTTACTGGGGCCGGGTTC